ACAAACTTGGTAGACACTCACTAGAAGATGTTTCATGCCAAATATCTAAGCTCTAGCTCTTACGGTTTTTTAAAAGAAGATATTTAAAGTTTTTTCTTTCGGTTGCCATGGCAACCAGAGTTCTGCATGGAATTAAATTCTTTGAACAATTTTTAAAGGTGACCACCAAAGGAACATTCCTGTGAAGTTTGGATGAAATTGGCTTAGTGGTTTATGAGGAGATGTCATTTAAAGTAAAAGTTTACGGACGGACGGACGACGGACGGACGCCGGACGAAAAGCGATCACAAAAGCTCACCCTGTCACTTTGTGACAGGTGAGCTAAAAAAATAATAAAATAAATAGATAACTGGAAAAAGTCATATAAAATAAATCAAAAGCAAAAGAACACATGGCAAATTAAAAGACACAAAACAAAAGTACCCAAACTACCCGGAGAAATTTCACTACATTAATTCAGCGGCTATAAAACTAATAAAACAAATCTTTTAAAATATATATAATTTAAAAAAAAAAAGACAAAGCACACAAGGAGCCACAAACCTCGTCCAACTGATGACCATAATATGTGTAACAAAGAAAAAAAATCCAAAAATAAATATTACACAGTAAAATCAACATGCAAACCCTTGCAAAATAAAGAGAATAAAATAAAATGCTTAGGTGCTATTAGGTACAATAAAAAAAAATCAATGCATTCTAGCTGTCTGGTCATCTCAGTTAGAAGATGTTTTCTTTCTTTAAACCTTAAAGAATTCCGCACCAGTTATAATATTCAAATGCGTCGCCAATGCTTAGTTACTTAAAGCTTTAGGGAAAACGAAAATTACTCCATAAATTTCAAGTTAAGTTGTATTGTGTATACTACATTGTATAAAGATTAATATATTATCACATAAACCGAGGCGCAGGTCAGTGTAATAAAGCCATTTAATAAAAACGATATTACACTATTGTAACACTTTGACGTGACGTCATTTGCGCTATATATAAACATAGCGTTAAAACGCGCTAATCTTAGCGTTTCGCTATAGGCGCGTCTGAATGAAAAATGACTCTTTTTAACAGTTTACTGTTTTTTATTTTATATATGTGATAAAAGGAATATTATATTTGTGTAGATTCAATACTAAATTTATTGAACTCAATGAATAAAACAATATTATGCTCGCCAGAGGCTCGCATAATATGATTTTATTCATTGAGTTCAATAAATTTAGTATTAATCTACACTCATTCAATACAAACATGTAGTATTTTATCATACTGCATGTTTCTTTGTAACACTGATTTTCATTGGCCAGAAAATTAAGTATTTACACTGCTGCTGTAAATTTCTTTTCAAAACTAATTCTTATTTCAACCAAAATATTAATTATCATAATTATAGCATAGCATATTAAATCAATAATTTAGGCTTTTTGACATGTTATAAAACCATATATATTACCCCATTACCCTGCTGAAGTCGTAGAATGGATTGTCCCAGCTTTGAATTTGGAACAGTCCTTTTCACATTTTAGAGATTTCAATATCAAAATACAAAAATTGAGCTACCCTAAGTCACTAACTGCATGAATGAACAGGTTGCCCAGGCTCTACACATAGTGGTGGCAAAGGTTATCATAAATCACTTTACATTTCAGCATGTTAAGGGTTAACATTGTTTTTGGTTATAAAGCCCCAATAGAAGCTAAGATTATATTACCGTACCACTGTTTGTACTTGGCAATTATAAATTATAACATGTCAAAAAACTTTGTAACTAATGATTTACAAGTTGCATAATATAACTTTAAGTGACAGAACTGTTTTGGGTAGAGTCAAGTTCATTTGATTTAAATTTTGATTAATTGCTGAGGTCACTATTCAAGCTAAAAACTAAACACCTGGAAAGTTGAAGAGTAATGTACATGTCTTTCATTTGATTCACATATTGACATATTTACTATAAGCGAAAAACTGAAAACCTGAAAATAGAATGTCTTCAACCACTCTTTTATCAAAATGAACACTGCTTTGGTTGTTATCTAAGACTAGAATATCATATATATATATATTTTTCAAGAACATCCAAGCAGGTAGCATCCACAAAATTTATTGCAAAATTGGCAAGCAAATCTGCAAACAAGCGATGATCCCAACAAAAACGAAAAATGTTTTTCCTTTATATTTTCTTCTTCAAAATTTGGCATAAAATATGTTATACAGTTAAAAATATTGATTATAATTAACCCTTTTTTTCGCATAATTTATGCAATGAACTTGTCCAATGTTACGAATTAGTAAGCGTTCATTATGATCGAACTTCAAGGGTTTTTTAACTGTCAACAGTATTGACTGCATGAATAAGCCAGCTTGCCAGGCTTTTTATAAAACATGGCCATAATATGGCAAGTCCAGATGCCTCTTTAAGAATTAAGAATCAACTGCATAAGACGTAAAGCACTGAAATGCATAATCGTTTTTTAAAATCTAATATTATAACAAGACGTGACAGATACAAAATTTTGTGACTTTTGTTTTCCGTGAAGTGACAAAATGTTAACTTTATACTACAATTAATCAGGGCTCACGCTGTCGGTCGCCATAGTCGCCATTTGCGATTATTTTATAAGATTGGCGATTATTTTTGCATTTTGGCTACAAAATCTGGCGATTATATTTTACTTCCAACAGTGTTTATATAAGGTGTAAAAATCGATAATGAATGCAGTAGACCCAATTAACACCAGCGGGGTGCATTTAATTGAGTGTCAACTTTTTACCGGTCACGTGCTGCTAACTATATTGCCCGAGGTGATAAAATACATGCGAGATGTATTATTGTATAAGTACTTTATATTGTCCAGCATTTAAAATAGCCATCAAATATCCGTCAATTAGCCACAAAAATCGTTTTAAAATTGATAAACTGGAAATTGACTTATCCAAAATTTACCGTGAATTGCAGTAATTGCAAATTTTGTTATTTTTTTGTTTTAAGCTACTTAACTAAATCGCCAGTGGAAAACAATGGTAAAATATTTAAAAAGTATAAACTTCCAAACAACTATTTGCACAACAACCAAAATTGTGAATATTTCTTCAGAAAACAGGAAAAATCCGATTGTCACATATTTTCGCGACACCGATAATTTTGATATTTATTTAAAGGTGAAATAAGCTATGTTCTGTTTAAAAATCTTTACTACTATGGCAGAAAATTTGTATTACATTGGTGATGATGATATTTTTCAGTAAATTATTCAGAAAAAAGGCTGCATTCTGTGAATGAGTTTGCAAACTTGTGTTATTTCTATAGGCTAATATGACCTAGATCTACTCCAGTTCTGTGTGAAATGTGGAAATTGACAGTGGTTATAGCTGACAAAATTTGAGTAGAACAAACAAAAAAAGTTGTCTGATAACAGCATTATGTAAAGTTATAATGAATCTTTAATATTATTGTTGTACAGTAATTATACTAATTATAACGTTTTTATTCTGTTCTATAATAACAATTAAAGTTGTGGTTCTATTTAAAAAAAGGTAGTTATCAATATACACAAATGTGTCAGTTTATTTGAGAATCCTTATAAATATTTAAATGTAATGTTTATTTAATCAACTGCTTATGTTGTTAATCGCTAATTCGTGTATAGTCCGCTGAACTTTTGGCTATTATTTTTTTAAGTTGAAAATATTGGCTATTATTTTATTTGAGCCAGTGTGAGCCCTGATTAATTCTATTATATAAATATGTGATTGTATCTAAAGGAAATCTATGTCCGTGTTTCTAAATAATGTTGTATATTGTTATTAAAATCTTCTGCAGTGTTTTTGATAAAGCAATTTTCTTTTGGTGCATTTAATTAAAGCTTAATTAGACTAAAGCTTCTAAATGGTCATCTAAATTTTAAATATCCCACAACCATACCTCATTTACTCTAAAGGATGGGAACTAATGAAAAATAATCATATAATTAAACTTGTCATGTATACAATAATGCCTGAAACTTTTAAAGTGAAACAAAAACTGAAAAGATAACATAATACCAATGTTTCACCTGACCCCTGGATGATTTTGTTCCAAATTTAGTTTAAACATATTAATTTTGTTTTAGCTTGATTACAAAACAAATTCTTGCAACATGTATTAATCACTTTTGAGTCCACTTCCTGTAACCAACCAGTACTGGTGTCATATTAGAAATCATGGTCAAGACCTGAGATGGGCTCGAACCCATGATCCTCAAAGGGTTGAGAGGCACTTTTTAACCACTAGGCATTTTTACTGCTCCCCTTAATGTTCCACATTTAATAATGCACCAAAATTTAAATATTTTTGTCTTTTCTTTAAAAAAACAAAATCAAAACAAACTCATTACTTTACATTGTGACCCTAAAATATTTTTTGGAGAAACTAAAGTGAAGATACTATTTAAAATTAAGACTTAAGTACCAAAGACTAGCAAATAAAAATGCTCTTTTTGAAAAACTCAATTCTCTGTGAATTATAATCTATATTTCTAAAAAGGGTGATCCTATTTTCACTTCCACCCTTCTTTGAAAAGCACCCTGAGAAACTGTGACCAATTTAAAAGCATGGAGAGGAAATTCTGTGAATAATTGATGAAAAAAAAAAAATTCTGGAAATTGAACAGTACAATTCCTATAGAATGTCTTTCATTTTACTCACATTATATGCCACATAATGTATTCAAAAATATAAATAAAATCTTGGCAAACAATTAATGTGCACTGAACCATGAACTTTAGAAGTTATAAAAGTATTGTTTATGCAATGTAAGTTCTTTCACGCGACAAATTTCACAATTCAGATTAATTCATTGTCAAATTTCAAGCTTACAAATTTTTTCAAACTTATGATTCCAATTTCTCCATACTTTTAAAATTGTTGAAAGATAACAAAGCAAACGTCACCACAAAAGTACCACAGTTTTCACTACAAGTGTATCGGGTATTTGTAATTATTATACATCCACAGTTTGACTCACTATAGAGCTAAGTATTCCCGCTGAGTGTATATCTCTGCCCATCTAAATATATCAAACAAGTGCACATCGTATAAAAACAAGATCGTCTTGACCCAGTTATTCAAGCAAAACAAGTGGCGATCATAAAAAATTACAGTATGGAAAAATCACATGACATGCTGTATAGTTAAATATACACCAAAAAGATAGGATGTGCGTACAAGAAATTCAATAGAACACACAAAAAGAGTGTTCCACCCTTTTTGTTGATTAGTTTTCAAATAAAGTAGGAAGCATTATACAAATGGCATGTAGAAATGTGTCCACAGAATAGGAATGTTCCACAGCCAGGCAGACAGATAAGGGCAGGTCTATATATGCCTTCAACCCCCCCAGACACAGTAATAAGGCATAAAAATTATGATATTTCCCAATTGTGGACTGTGTTTATAAAATCTACAGTTTTAAAATCAGTTTTGTAAGGAAAAAAGAAAACTGAGATATTAACAAAATTTTATTATAAATAGAAGTAAATTAGCACAAATTTTAACATTATAAGCTCCTGATTCCAGTATATACAGATACGATCAAGGGGAAAATATTGCAAATTTTTTATTTTTTTATTTTGATGATACTAAACTTTTTTGTACTTTAAAAACCACCCCTACTTCAGCTGCTTTGGAAAATATTTTAGGGCCCTTTGGGCAATTATTACAAACTAAACAGCATGTGTGTTTTCAACATTTTCTATATTTCTGCATAAATAAACTACTGACAGGTCATGTAATTTTCATACTGATACAAACATACTGTCTAAACAAACTGTGCAAATAAAAAAATATGTGTAATTTAATAGTAATATCTATAAATATAATTGATTTGACTCATGCACTGGCTTAAACATAAAACTGCTTCTATTTCCTTCCCCATTCCATTATGCAATTTAAACGTTAATTTCATATCTATTCTAGTACATAGTTATTCCTTTCATTAAATTTTCTTCACAAGGCTAGGTCTTATGCCTAATTCTATAAGTGAACAAATTCTAGAAACTTATACTTGTATATGTAATTCTATAAGTGACCCAGTTCTAGAAACTTTTACTTGTACATGTATTAAAAAAATTTTAGTGATCTCAATAGTTAGAATCTAGTGTGATACTAAATTTGTCAATTCTCCAGTTCTGTAATTTATGCATATCCTATGTCAAAAACCTAGAATCTTTAAATTATTTATTATTCAAATTATTGATTAATAAATTGAAAAAGACAACAAATGCTTAGTTAGAGCATGGGGACAAAACCAAATGCGTGTTACAGAGCCATGTAAGTTAATACGCTTAATATGGTAAATATAGTATAATTAACTTTGTTAAAAAAAACCCGACAGTATCGACAATTTTAATTCGAGTCACATTAAAAAAAAATCAGCATTCAGTTACCTTGCTTTAAATGATAAAATAAACGTGATTCTTTCAATTACAAAAGGCAGTGGTATAATTAATATAATATCATTTCCCAAAATAGTTTTTCCTCAAGATTATCAAGATTATTAGTTAAGGGAAACTTGTTTATATTAAGTTATATACATTTTATAATATCACTTGTACCAAAATTGGCCTTTAACACTAGAATCTTGTATACCGAGTTTGCCTTTAATCATATAATTCAGGATATTAAAATTTGTTTCACATTTCAAAAACTTTATATTATACTGAGTGCTATGCTAGTTGGTTATAACATGATAATTTACATTATTTATACCACTGCCCTCTGTCAACAGTGCATGCATTTTGTTTTCATAACAAATCATTCAACATTCAAAATGCATTGAAAAATGCAACATAAATTATTGCATGCATGATTACAATACCTTGCTTTCTTCCTGTCTCTTAGCCATTTCTAACTTCCGTCTTTCAGCAAGCCACTTATCTTGGTATTTATGCTCTAAAAGGTCAAAGATTGGGGTAGATGGTCTGAAAATTAGAAAACAAATAATGATTAGGTAATATATTTCATCTTGATATATATGTCATAAAAATAAAATTATTATACAGTGAACATATTTCAGTTTTTAGCTTGAATAGTGACAATACTTTAAACATTCTGTTTAATTTTTGAAGTAATACGTAATTCTTATACTCATAATAGTATAAGTTAACTCGCCTACACTTGTAACAAAATGAACTCTTAAGATTGTTGTGTACCAACAACGGGAAGCTGTAACCTAGCGGTTAAGGTGTCTGCCTCTCAACTCAGAATCATGGGTTTGATCCCTAATTGGGTCATGACCATATTTCTTCATATGACACCCAGTAATAGTTGGTTCCTAGGAAGCGGACTTGAAAGTGATTAATATAAGTTGCATGAACTTGTTTCACAATTGAGCTTAAATAAATATGTTTAAACCAACAATGCTTTTTGAAAACACTGGCGATTGCTTTTACTTTTTTGCATTATATACATGTACTCATATACAAATCAAACAGTGAAAATTATCACTCAGTAGAATGATTATGTTTACCTTGTTGAAATTCCATATACCATACTCGGAGGCATTCTACGGGTTCTACTTCTTTGACCATCTTCACTCTGATTTTTACGTCTAACGTCGTGTGTTGCTCTAAACTCGTACTGTGCATTAGCAGTGACTAGACCTTAAATATCAAATTTAAAGAACTAAACAAACTGACTATGAATATAAAATCAAGTTCCAGAGGAAGCAAAATAAATAGTCTGTATAAATGTCAAGGCTGTCCAATAGCCTGTATTGACAAATTGAAATTTTTTCTGAATTTATTTTATAAATATCATACCATTACAGACAAGTAAAGGAATCCTTCTGATTACATGGATAAGAAAGTCTAAATCAGATTTTGCCACTCCTAAATAACCAATCACTACATGGTAAGCAAATAATCATACAAAAATTTACAATTTCACTGTAGCAGTAAACATGAAGTGTTTGAAATGATAAATTCTCTTTACAAAAACTAGTATCATAAATTGGTTATAAATCTACATGGCAAGGTTAATTAACTCAATCAATTTAAATGACTTAAGGTTATACAATTATGCTGAACTTTCAAATAAGGCAATAAATAGACTAATTTTGCAATTAAGAATATTTTGGTTTTTTTCCCCCCCCACTTATCTGTGGGTGTAAACAGACTTTTAAAGTTACAGCTTTGAAAATAACTGCAGCAGGTTATCTATTTTGACTGGTAGTGCACCAAGAAGCTTTAACAGAAAAAGTTTGTTTGTACCGGGAGATAAGCTTGGATAAACCCACATTTGCTGAGGTCCAGATAACATCTATCGTCTTCTAAGATTTGATATTTCTGAACAAAATCAAAACTTACCAGCAGAAACAGCAGCTCTGTTCAGTGACATAAAATCTCTGTCTGCTTTCTTTTCTTTTCGTTTAAACGGCAAAGTTGTGTTGGTAAGTGTTGGCCAACCATGAAGTGCTACATAAGGTGAAAATACAAAAATCATTGCATCAATTCTTATATCGGTTGTAAGACTTTATTGTATGAAAGGAGAAAATGTTTAACTGTCTGTTAATTCTATTGTCTTTCAGGGTTTTACATCTCTTTGAAATTTTAGGGGTCCAGTGGATGCACAGCCTAGAAAAGTAGGGGTCCAGGCCTGAATTTTAGGGGTCCAAAATTATTTTCACTATAAAAGACTATGAAGACCACTCTATTTTGCTTAAAATCATTTATTTACCCTGTAAGAGATATGCATGTATATTGTACTGTTTTCATAAGAAGTATATGATTTCAATATCTTTTATCACTAGGTTTTTTTTATAGCCCTTTAGTAGCCCTTTGTGCTATTTCCAAGGCTTATAAGTCTTTGAGTGGCTGGAATGTCAAGTTTTAGTAGCATATTTTGTTATTGATAAGGTGATTACACCAACAGACTGAAAATTTGTACTGATCTATTTGTAAATATTTTAGCTGAACTAGTAAACACACAATATATAACTTTACAGACCAGTCAGCTAAATATGTTGCGTTTTTAAAAATATCATATAGAAACCGCTTTTGCACCTCCTCATAAGCTGGGACATACTTGATGTCCCAGTCAAAAGTTAAGTTTGCCGAAACCATTATATTTATAACACCAACGATAATAACATACCCAGTGACTTAATTTCTATAACACTATGAAAATAAGTTTGCAAAAAGCACTGCCTTTTTTATTATCGCCGTTCATGTACAAAATACATTCGCATCGACATTGGATACGCTTACCAATAGTAATTGCTTGTTATAAATAGTCCGTCTAAATATAGCAACAGAAAAACCAAAAACAGCTACCTAAAATAGATTTTACGGTAAACGTCATCAGTTACTGTAGCTTGCACGATAAACGTCATCAGTTTCTGCAGCGGGCACTTTCAAAATCTTAATATATGCCGTTTTGAAAAAAAAATCATATTTCAACAACTATAATAACACATATTTCAACAACTATAATAATACACGTGTATTATTATAGTTGTTGAAATATGATTTTTTTTCAAAACGGCATATATTAAGATTTTTTGATATATATGATCAGTACATGTGCTGGGATTGACAAATATGCATTTTATTTGGATTTTAAAGGCGTTTTGAGCTCCAAACCCCAAGTTTTCAATTATGTTAACTTCCGAAATAAACAATGCAAGCATTTTCTGCTCGCTGTATTAGATTTAAATGGAATTTTGTGAGCTTTGAGAAGAAAGAGATAAAATCATGTCAGGCCATAAACAATAATAATTCTATTGTCTAGGATTATTTTTGTGCGTACACTTGGACGCAAGTGGATAACTTATATGCGTACATGTCAAAATTTATGCGTATAGGGACGCAAAATTCTGCGTCCCGTAAAACCCTGGACTCTTTGACTTATATAGTGTAAATAGTTCTACAAAGTCAGGCTTATATTATATACATCAGTCAACTCGACTATTATCTTTAGATCAGATCTAACATAAATCATTAAAAAAAAAACCTGGGCACTAAATCAAGATACAGTCGGCATCGTACTTGCGTCCACCTTTATTTAGCGACTTTTTTATTAAGCGACCGCATAAAATCCCTCCCGATGATTTTTACTATATAAGTTAATTCCATTAAACGACGATTTTATATCGCGGCCAGCGGCCACTAAATGTCGGCCCAAATGTACAAAATTCAGTGTTAAAGTATCTATTAAACGGCCGTGACAAACAATTGCCCCTACGGGCATTCTCACCTGTGTAATTAGCGAGTAGGTTTGATGTGTACAAACAAACAAACAAATATTTTTCATGGTCATTGGCCGTCAATTAGACCGTCACAAGTAATTGCCGTTTAAAAACGAATTGAATAACAATTGCAATCGTTCCATTAACAGTTCAATTAATTTGAAACTCTTAAAGACTAATTTTATTTTTGGTTGTTTGATTGAATTTTCTGCATATCAACACAGTATAGGTCATAATTGGCAATGATCCACCTTAACTGGTGGAGGAAGACCTTACTGGTTCCCTTCCATGCGTTATTACAGGCATAAATTGGCACCTGAGTAGAACTACCAACGGTCAGTAAGCTAGCTGAATAACTTCTGACATGAATGAATCCAGAGTCCCTGTCTGGATTCAAACCCACGGTGAGGGGCAATTGTTTTGAAGTCAACGACCTTAACCACTAGGCCACAGACGCCCCTCTTATTTATGACAAGCACGTCTAAAGTATATATATTAAAAGATACCTTCTGATGATCCACCATCTCTCATACCATTAGGACGGCCGTAAGTTAACCCAGCTGGTACAATGATACCTCTTCTTTTTGGTTTTCCAAGTTCAGTCTATAAACCACAATAAAAATCAATGAAACATTTAAGTAATGGTAGCTTCCAATAGGTTATAAGATATAACTTGTAATAATAATAATAATTAATTAATTAATCCCTGGCCAAGTATATTTTATATATTCAGTGTTTTCAGATTTTGAAAAAAAGAATAAAAGAAAATAGCACTCAGCTGGCAAATGCAGATCGAGTCAATGTGGTGCTGGCCACCATGATCAAGAAAAGTTTATTAAAATCACAAGCTAGGCTTAAATTTTGTGCAGTAGAATCAAAATTGATCCATCAATTTATAAACAAATGTGCCTATGTTTCTGTCACTATATGATGATATTATTCTGTTACTAAGGTGTAATTCTGAATTTTGTTGTAGTATTCAGACTTCTTGAAAGTTAAAAAAAAGTGTCAGACATTCGGTCTGACAAACCATGAAAATCTGGCGGACCGAAACCAAATCTGTCAGATCGAATAAAATTAATCAAAATCAAAGGAAAACTTGTGTTTGTGTTTCTAAGACACTTTTCGATTTTAATTTTTTCGCCGTAAAAATCGGCATAGTCCGTACAGCTCATTTTCATCTCCCCCCTGTCATTCCCCAACGAATTTCATGGTCCTGCTTCCATTTTCATTAAATTTTGTCTCAGGTCTATTCTTTTCATTCTTTTACTGATGTTCTGCGCGCTCCTCTGAAGTAGTTTTTCATTATTTTCCTTTAGCGACGCCATTTTGTATTCATGTGACTAGGATAAAAGCCGGACAGTGGGAGGGATCCAGAATAAAAAATCCTCGGACCTAATCAAAATTTATCAGACATGTCTGTCGGATCGAGGTATTTCGGGAAGTCTGGTATTAGACATAAAAAAAGTAAAAATGTGGGGGTGTGGTGGCAGATGTCTCCAATATGCAAGCTATTGCCAAGATTGGTTGTCTTCCAGGGTCAGTAAACGTCAATGTAGTCATGTTCCAAATGTTTTACTGGCTATTTTAAAATTTATAAATGAGCTTATAATGACTGACTCAATTATTATTATTATTTTACATTTTTCTATCTCAACATATGTTGTTTCAAAACATACATGTAGTTGACCAGTTGATAGTCTTTATTCGTGACAAAAAAGTTGAACAAAAGGCTTTCTTAAAAAGATATGTTGACAAGGAAACAGAGACCTTAATTTGGATAAAAATATTCAAATTTCAATTATTCAACAGCATAAAAGCAGAAAATGATATAAAGAATGATACAAGAAACTGTTCAAATGTTAAAAATATAAAACATACAGAACACTTTATTATTTTCATAATGTCAGATATGTCTGAGGTAGCTCGCGAAATAATGTGATAACCTTACTCACCCTCAGAAGAAGTTCATTTTGCAGCATGGTATCCCGATTTACACCCAGTACACCCGGTGCTGTGTGTTCCCACGGGTTTTGATAATTCAAAGTGTCGGTCGCCATTTTCGTAAAGCCTTATTTTACAATTAAAAAACTAGATCTATTGTTTATCCCAGCGATCAATCAAAATAATCGGGAAATCGAGTCCAATCTCCTTGGCGACAGTAATCAATATGTCACGTGGTACACGACTGGTATTCAATTTTGAATTTCTTATTACGTCCGACAGTGAAATAAGTTATATACAGTCTAAGCACAAAGGGAGGCTATCAATGAAATTTATTGCACAGTTACCTACCTTCTTGTCTATATATTTATGCTCAAGCATAGCAAATACTGGTGTCCATGGTCTGAAAAAAAAGGACAAATTTAATGAGAATTTTATGAAAATCTAGGATTTTTTTCAAAATTGTGGTACCGGTACATCTTTTTTGCTATCATAAAGAAGTTTGGACTGTCCTGATAATAAGGATTACCGAATTATGAGTCGATAGAATGGATATGGGAAAAATAAATCTATATACTAGTACATTTGCACGGAATGAGCAACCGGTTTGAGCACGAGATTTGTAATCTCGACAGCGTGGGCTCGATTCTAGGGCTGGCTGGCCTAGTGATTTCTAGGAATAACTATAAGATAAGAACATATGCTGCCATTTTGAATTTTAACACTTAAGAACAATACAAATTTATTAAAATAACTTTTATTAAATTCACAACTGTATTTAATTACTATAAGTTTTTATTTAGTTGACATTAGAACTTTTAAGAACAAATGAATAAAACATACAAATACCAATTTTTTAATTTAAATTTTTATTAATAATATAAAACCAACACATTTACATGTTACAATGACCAACAACTTTTTTAACACAAAGAATGACCTTAAGTGACCCTAACTTTAGGAGGGAAACGTTATGGTTAAGCAAATAGCAAATGTGGTTAAGGAAACATAATTACACAAAGTAAAAATTAAAATTAAATAAGGCCAACAAAGTTACCTTTTTTAAAAAATAGCAAAAACCTTAAAAATAGCACTTGGTTACAAACTAAAGTTACTAATCAGTCTTTCGGATGAGATTTTAAAGCGAGGTACCGGTAGGTGCTTTTAAAAACACTTGGAAAGTTAAAGAACCAGGATTTGGGCATGTCTCTTGCACTATCCACCAAAAATATTATTCGGAAATATCGGACAGTATAAACAGTTCACACTACATTAATGATAGGCCTACCCGACTTCATTGAGCTGAATTGATCGACCTTATACATTTTTTCATTGTGAAGTTGAGCTGAATTAATTAATTACATTATAATATATGTAAATATATTTCATGCAGATGATCAACTGACATTAATTGTTATGATGATTGACCAACAGTTATATTAATACTGGGAAATGTTTATGATTAATATAAATCTAAAATATAAGTACAAGAAACGCCAAACATAATACACGTACGCCGACCTTTGCACCGAACGGTGCAATAAAACATACAGCATATTAAAATATGCCGGTTAGATGGTTCAGAAAGGAACATATGCAGTTGCAATTACATGATAAGGCATTCAGTAATCATCATGCACGATGTTATTCAGCAATACGTACATGTACGTAGGTTTCCATTGTCATTAAGAAGTATGGAAGCAAGCATAATATGTATGTTCCAATATCACACTGGCCATTTTTATCCACCGCTTCTGCGAAGAATCCTCCACCGCCGCTGCGATGGACCCACCGCTTAGAACTGGCCAGTGTGAATATCATCAAGCAAGATCATGAAGATGGAATAAATGCATTAATACTGTTGCATATAGGAAACTGCTAAAATTGAAAGGAATTATGGGAAAATGTAAATTACATTGAAATTCTGACTTTCACCTGTTCACTATATAAAATCGGACAGACATAATAATATGTTACTTTGTTTTACCACGACAATAATAACATATTTATAATGGGAAGCAATTAATGGTTTACTTGACATGTTCAAATTCATATACTGTATGCATACTGTATGTGGATATATTAAATCGTGATAAATGTTCCTTGTGCTATATATGTTGAAATAAAGAAAAATAATTTCATATCATGATCGATATCCATAACGTTACAAAAGACATTGACTTTATAGTTAATTCCTAGTTTTATTTCTTTATGTACATGTACATGTATAGATGTATAAACATGCAACTATGGTGGCTGATTTGTGCCATGTCGTGTTTTCGCTCCGCGGGGCGCCAGGCGACAAAGTGGTTACGACATGGCACTAAATTAATCAGCCATCATATACATGTACATGTTACACCAACTATACAGAATTTTTTACCGAACTTGAGCGACTCTAAGGTAATGTTAATTTTATTGCAAACTGTCGACATGATTAAATGATATTGCGTCCTTTTTCTGTAGCATTTTCATAAAACTGAACCACGAATTTTAATTAATTGTCAATTTAAGTCCGTCACTAAACTAAACTAGTTAGTAAGACTATTTTCGTGATAATTAACTGTTGCCAGAAATATGCCACTGTGAAATATTTTCATGCTTACACGTGGAATTTTATAATCATATTGGTTAGATCTTTAATCAGTTTCCGGTGAAAGTTTAATCGCCAAGTTAAGTTTTTGTCCATCTTTCAAATCAAGTCAAAACCGTCCATCTTTTAAGGGAGACCCAAGTATTTCAAAATATGTACTGACCGAATAAGGAGCAGTGCAGACCATGATTAGATGGCATGGATGTGCCGGTTGATATTGGTCTGCACTTGTGACGTAGGTAGATTCTGGGATTTTGTTGCCATCATCATATTAATGCTTAAAAAAATTATTTGAGTTCCTCTGTACAAAATAAAATGTTACGGCTAATATAAAGATATCAATTCGAACACTGCTGATCAAGTAGATTCAAATTTTGACAGGGCGCGGGCTGCTTTATCTAGAACTTCCGATTCAATTTAACTTTTTTTCTGTATCATTATGGTTTAGATCTATCATTCTATACAGGGGAACAGCAATTATGAATGGCGCAAAATGACACAAATAACAGAAAGTTTTCTTGCGTAGACTCACTGTAATTACACTTATAATGATCAAAATTTTATTTTGCATTGACAGGAACACTTAGTGAAATTAGTGCTCGTTGGTAATTGTTAAACACTATTTTTAGTACAAATTAACAATCTACTTTATTTCAAGAACTAGTAATTGTAAACCTCATGTTGTCATGTTTGCATGATCTGGATAGAATTATTGAATAAATTGAAATTGAAGACTAAACTTACCTTGTTACTTCACCATACACTTTTGTCGGATGTTGCATTCCTGGGCGTCCATTGCTTTTATCAACTTTTTCTGCGAACCTATAGTCCGTGAGCTGTATGCAATCATCATCGTAATCACCCAAATTATTTCCTCCAAACTCATTACCGATTTTCAGAATGTCGTAATTTAGCCTTCTGTCGTTCGTATAGCAGTCTATGTCTTCGTCCATTCCAAACACATCCTTTATTTGTCTTTTCCTCCCCTTAGAAAACTTTGGATTGAATTCATCAAGCCCATGTTTCGACACAAGACACGCGCTGGACATTGTCAAACTGAATGTTAAAACAATTAAATCCCCGTGTTACCAACTCTTTTAATTTATTTAATCTTTCACTAGCCAATCTTAATTGCGTTTTTCTCTAGTATTTAATAGCATGTCGTTGGTAATAACAAATGCATAGTAAATGTTTGTTATTTTTTATTTTTATCCGTTTTGAGTATGTGTACATGAAGGCTCTGTTTATGTTAATCAAAATCGAATTTGCATTTAGATCACTATTCTATCGATAATAATGATTTGATTTCCCTTATCGAAGTTTTAATTAAATGTCTACTGTAATACATGTAGTTTGTAATTGTTAAATCAAATCAAAGAGTCACGTTATATAAAGAAATGAAAAGAAATCGTTTTTTATAAGGTAATTCTTCATCAACTTAACAGTAAGGCTATTGAAACTATGATATTTGGTTTACTGTCTGAGATTAATATTTAGATATGCCATATACGTCTTATTACGTTATAACAACAAAGGAGAACAAAACAGAGTAGAAAATGCAAAGTGTTAATTATAGACTATCAGAATTAGAGAAATTTATTTGAATTATCATTAATATCACTAACAGGTTTTTTTTATAGTTTAAGTACTGAGTGAGAGATAAATAGTGCTTGGTATACAGGGCGTTTGAGTGATATACATGCAGTGAACGATATCCCTTACATTAAATAAAGCATTAAATAAAGATATTAATCAGTGAAATATGACGTTTTATTTAATTTCACCCATGAAATATGGTGCTATATCAGTCAAATATATTTCATATTTTTTTAAAATAAATATGAAATATAAATATGAAAGTGGGCGGAGTCAAAACTCATATTTATTTTAAGGGACTTCTTTCGCCGTTTTGTTTGAAAAATCTGATGAATACAAAACAACTTTTTCTTGAATATTGTTTTGAAAACTATCTAGCATGATAGAAAATGGTCTAACTAAGAAAATTAATCCGAACACCAATATCTTTAATTCAGTAATTAACGCTGTACAGACGTTTAAAGAGTTGTTTACATGACGTCACAATGTAGCGCCAAATAGCGCGTGCTTACGCATAAATTACTGCGCGCTGTACAATTGCAGTTGGTAGCAAGCAAGGGGATTCGTTACCATTTTCTTCGATAATGAAATTAAATAAAAAGGTTATTTTTTCGTTTTTCGTGAAATATGGTATATATTTTCACTCAGCATGATAAAATGCCACATATTTTCACTCGCCGTACCGGCTCGTGAAAATATGTGGCATTTTATCATGTTTCGTGAAAATATATTCCATATTTCACGCAAACGAAAAAATACCCTCTTATTATTATAAATTTATGAATGAAATATTGAGAAATATTGCTGAAATAAAATGCGTATTTTTATTTCCCGTATTTTCACTGTAAACATTTATTTTTCACTGCAGTGAAACATATTTTCCGTATTTTCACGGGTGTGTTGTCGGACTACATGTACTTTCTCCTAAATTCAGCCAATACGGAATTCTTCCTATTCATATGGTTAAAATGGAGAAAAAATATATAATAAACAGAAAATTCAAGCTACTGTCACTCGTGTATTATTTATTTTCATACCACTTGATGAAAATAAATCCTGTATCTATAGAAGAAACTTAAATACCCTCTACATCTCATATACATTTTAACGGATTATATATTTCAATATCGTTCTAAAGATTCTTGTTATTGATTTGATAATTTATACCCTGTAAATTGTACATTAAATTTGCATTGCCTAAATGTAATTGACTAATTTGTCGATTTAAAAATCAATAGTTTAAAGAAAATGAGTTATACAGGTTTACTATTACATGAAAGAAAGTTTTTGTTCATTATTAAGGCTCGTGTATAACATTTATCATTATTTCGCATTTAAAGTGAAATACAAAACCTACTTGTTCGTGTATCAATGGTCGTATTGTAATGGCGGATGGTGAAAGAAAGCAGAAATAATGTTATTAAATGGACGGACAATGAACTTTTAAACTGCTGCATGACAAGTAGAAATAATGGACCGAATACTTATTTTATGTAATACATGTAGTATGTTAAACAGAAATAATCTACAATATAACAAAACATCAATAAATGATAGCCAACAAAACGATTAATGAAAATAATTATCATACCAAAATTTTGCATGAAAAGTGCGCACGCAGGTGTATATTTAATGGAGAAGTAAACATACATTAATTGATGACATCACGCGAGCGCGTGCCGTGATTACACTTTTTAATGCACTTTAAAATAGCTTAAATAGCCGGACTGGAAGAACTCGTGGCTACAATGGGTCCGATATCTAGATTGCAGATTGGATAGTGCATTGGCTCTTACCACAATGTAAGGCTTACAACGCACGCACAAGGGTTGTGACCACCCGTTGCTTGTTTGTCATTGCTGTTAGCCGATACGATGATTCGTTCATTCTGTATACATACGCTATTCGTTTTTGTAAAAAAGAAAGCTATTGTTAATGAGGCAATCTTGACCTAACCACTGGTTCCATATCGTTGCAATGGCCCAGACTCTCCCGTTTACAACAATATAAAGCACATGACTCTCGCTTAAGAAACATGGGCGCAATATGCCCGCTTTGTATAGGTGTTAACCGATGTGATTATTATTATTAAAAATAAATAAATCTATGTATTTTCGTAAAAAGGGCCATTATCTGGAGGCCTTTTTAGCTTACAAATTGGTGTAATTTCGCTGCACAAGGGTCAATGCAATAGTTCTGAGACTGTCATTTATGTATTTAAGACACGTGTCGTTGCATGAATAAATTGTCCATCTGACAGATGCCAACGTGACAAAGGTATAAGCAGGTTTGATGAATTTTTGATGAAATTTCCCATTCCGTACATCTATTTCGTAAAAAAACATCATTTTCTGGACGAATTAATGGTCTAATTTCGTTGCGGATTTGGGCAGTACGTGTTATATCCGTGAGTCTCCTGCCTATGACATAATGGCCCGAAGATGTACACAATGGCCGGAAATAAGGCGTTTAGACATTACCTCTAAATAACAAAGATGGCACACACCAAAAGGTACATGGTCCCTTATTTCCCTGCGTGGCAAAGGTATAACCTGTGCGGTAACATGCTCATTGTGTACATGGACTCTTATAAGAAAGTTTGTAAAATGCAACATTTTATGTGAACAATAGTCTCCTACACATTAGTTCAAGTTTGTTTTCTGATCGACCAGTGTAATAGCTTGGAATATCTTGTTAATGACAAGATTTAAGACAGGAAGTTCGCCCTGGAATCTAACATCCTGTCAACAAACTTTACAAATATTCGTAAAAAGCACATTTTTATTCGTGAATCAATGGCTACCTACCCATTGGAACGATCTAGTTGCGAATTTGTTATTGCAACAGCTTGCACAGAGACCTCGTTTTCAACAATATAAGGCACATTGCATGCATATGAAACATTACCGCTAAAAGCCCGCGTGACCTAGGTTTAGCCAGTGTAATAAGTTGTCCATTCTGTATATAAACTCTACTGATTTTTGTAAAAAGTACAATTTTTCTTGACGTAACCATGACCCACCAATTTATCCAATGTCATTTTCGGATTGCCCTCGGCGATAGGTAGAAAGCTTCCGTTGACGGTACTGTAATTTACTCACTAAAGAAATATGGCCCGCGAAACATAGACACTTTTGTGAGTCTGTAGGAAGTTAATGTCATATACATGTAAAGCGATTTATCTTGGTTTCCACATCATAGCATAAGTATAGCAATGTCATGTCAAAATCACAGGCACGAGTATCGGACCCGGGAAGAAAAAATATGACCAGATTGATAAAAAAAAACCTGTGTTCATCTTAAAAGTGTCAAAAAAACTCCCAAAAAATGTAAATAATGACACCCTTTAAAAATGTACTATAAGTTAACTTATAGTATATTTTTAAAGGGGGTCATCATTTACATTTTTTTTTTACACTTTTAAGATGAACACAGGTTTTTTTTATCAATCTGGTCATATTTTTTCTTCCCAGGTCCGATACTCGTGCCTGTGGTCAAAATATGCAGTTTTAGTCCTTAAAATATTGTTAATAAAATAGTATATTCTGCACAAACATTCAAAATGTCACATGTTTTGCAAACGTCTGTATATTTCCATCACAATATCTACTCGTATTTTTTATTTGATTTTGACGAAATGATCTCTCATCAAGGGTCAGTCTCTGCAATGCAATCATTTACAAGTGCGTCATCATGCGTCATATAGCGTTCTACACCATATGGTATCAGTGAGTGATGTGTACATTGAATCGCCCAAGGTTTATTTAAAATACGTATTTGAGGTAAATTAATACAGGTAAATTCGACAGACAAAATGAACTCATTGATAAAGATGTCATTGACCCCTTAACCTAACCTACATAATCATAACCTAATTTTTCACGACCCTTTACATAATATTACTTTAAAGAGAGTTCTATATATCAATTGATATAAGAACATACTCACATACAGTTTAATATTTATATTTGTGTTTTTAAGTTTTTGCTTCAATTTGTAAGAGATGTCGAAACTAAGGATATGTGTGATAGGTGCCGGACCGTCTGGTTTGTCAACTCTGTTTCATTTCGCTAAAATGGAGGAGATGCCGGAAATTGTTTGCTACGAGAAACAGCGCACATGGATGGGTTTATGGAACGTTTCTTGGAAAACAGGTGAGCCTTTGTTTTATCATTCCTTTAATTGATGATGATGTTTTTAACCGTGGCACAGTGTAGATAAATTTTAACATATTTCCTGTATAGCTTTAAGAGTTAACTAATGTTAAACTAGTCATATGTTGACAATTTACTAAATGCATTCAAGTAAAACTTATGCTATTCAAAATCGATGTTACGTTTAATATTATTTATTTAGGTTTCTCAGAAATTGCTTGATTAAATATAAAAAATGTGCAATTATTAGCATAAATATTTTTTGCAATGGTGCTGAATAAAATGCATCGAAGTACGGGTATTCAATTCGAAACCACATTTACAAAGAAATTTAGAGTATAATATTATTGATTTTTCCAAAACATGAAGACCATTTGTAATGGTTCTTTGAATAAATTCGTTATATAAAGTTTAAGTGGAATTTGTCAGCTTTTAACTAGTCCAAAAGTCTTGGTGTCGCTCATATGCATGCATTCCTACCAAATTATATACAATTACGCCCTTAGTTTATACACAATTATTTTAGTTCGATTGTAGTGGAAACACTCTTGGATCCGCTTCTGGAACCAACCAGTATTAAGCAATGAATGTATTGTTTCTTGCTCAAGAAAGTTTCTACGGCTTACCCCTGACAGAGTTTAAACCCAAGAAGATTACTAGTCCGACGCATTAACCACTCGGCCACGCCGCCACTTACGTCCTTAATTCTGCCATGTTGATAACATATAGTTATACATGTATACATGTTATTTATAAAAAATATCAAAGTTCAAAACTCTCATATGACAATAGATGACTTATCTGACAATTTGACACGAAGAAAAAAAGTTTTAACTACTATACTTGAAGGTCTGGACGAGAACGGAGAACCTATTCATTCAAGTCAATACCATCATATGTGGTGTAATGGTCCATATGAGGCATATCAGTACCCAGATTATCCGTTCGAGCAGCACTTTGGTCAACAAACCCCGTCATTTCCACCCGGTGCCGCGATGAAAGACTATCTCGAAGGTATTATTGTAATATTTTTTTTATTCAACATTTCAAGAATCATTTAATGAAAATACCAGCAGATTCATACACACTTTTAAACTCCTAAGGCATTGTAAGGCTTGGGTAAGTTTCCTTTTCTTACATTTTTCAGTTCGGGACGTTTCATTGTGTACTCTTGTATTGGTTAGAAGAGTTTTTATTACATGCTTTCGGTGGTTTATAGAAATATATCAGTGAAATAAAAACTGAATCAATTTGATAATTTCACTGTTTTGAATATTTGAGCCTGTTGCGTTGGTTCAGTGAAATACAAGCGTTCACAGTACTGGAAACCAACTTACTGATGTGACGTCGTAAATGACGTCACGTTGTATTATAATTTGGCGCCCTTTTCATTTAGTACTAGGTTAAAATGTCTTTTTAACGTTTCTTTGCATAAAAAGTAAATTTGTTTAGTTTAATGTTCCACCTAATATAAAAGATTAAAGTCTTATTCAATATCTGACTCATTTTCTGATGTAACTAATATTATTACTTTATGTCTTTCATTTAAGGTCGTTTTAATAAAGCGGTTGCACATGGAAGAAACCTTAGAGACTATATACACTTTAATACTGCTGTCCGATATGTAAAATACAATGACGACAAAGATAACTTTACCGTCATTGTCAACGATTATAACACAGGCAAGACACTAGAAGAAACATTTACACATATAATTGTGGCTTCCGGAATCTTTGGTTTTCCTAATCTGCCGGAATTTCCTGGAATGGAACAGTTTAATGGTCGTATTTTACATTCACACGACTTTCGAAATCCAAGGGAATTTTCTGGACAAAGGGTGCTGTTGATCGGAGCTGGGTATACCGGCGAAGATATTGTTCTACAATGCTTGAAATTTGGCGCGAAGCATGTGACTATGGCATACAGAACAAGGGCAAAAGGAGACACCTGCATTATGCCAGAGGGTGTAGAAGAAAGACCAATGGTTGAACGCTTTGATTCGAATAAAGCATACTTCAAAGATGGGACCTCTGCTGAAATTGACTATGTAATATTAACTACAGGGTACAGGAATTATTTTCCTTTCCTGGAAGACAGATTTAGAATACCGGAGGAGACACACCTTTATCCTGAAGGGCTGTACAAAGCAACATTGTTTTATAAGGAGGGAAACAATCGTTTGTTTTATATAGGTGCTCTTGAACAGTTCAACACAATTATATATTTCGAAGTTATGGCAAGCTGGACTAGCAGGTAAGTTTGATTTCTCTAAAGTCAGTTTTTAATTATAAAGATTCAAATTAAATATCCTGATCTATTGGATTTACGGTGTGGTGGTGTTTTGATGATTTTAGACCATACCGTAATCAATTGAGAAAAAATCTTTATATCCTATTAAGTACATCTTACAGGTAAACTAGCACACCTTGTTGCAATGGTATATTCATGGAAATTCCGCTGCAGTGTTTCATAGGTTTGGTGATGATTTCATGCACGCTAACTCGCTTTAGATAAAATATACTGACAAAGTTCTTTCATTCTCGGTATTATATATCTTTGATAATTATAAATACATTATAAAGAATAATTTTACAATCTACAGCCGCCACCAAATTTATAGCTTTATTTACATTTAGAAATGTAGGAGATAAACTATGTGAAATAATTATGATAACCGTTGATTTAAGTGTATGCACAAACACAACTGTTCAAATGTTAACTTTCAGATACATTATGGGTCAATTGGAAGATGAACCAAAGGAAAAGAAAGAGATGCAAGCCGATAGTCAACAATGGATTAAACGGGCAAATGCCTGCACTTCCGAATCACAAGTGATTCATTTCCAAACTGAATTAATAGCACACCTGGGTGAATTATCAGGATACCATAGTAATATTGAGAAAAATGAAGAAGTTCTCAATAAGATGGTCAAAGACAGAAAGGAGTTTGGACTTGCAAAATACAGGGATCAATGTCATGCAAGCACACATACTGGTACAATAGACCCGAAACAAAATACTCCATTTATGCTAAACTATGACGATAGCATTGAGGCATTTTTGAAATGCAAATAGAACAAATAACTAAAAATGTGATATTCACGCTTATTTACTTCTGTCCTACATAATTTTGAAGGGAAAAAATATTGGGTCAAACTTTTAGTTATTTTATTATACTCTTTATGTATTCGGAGCACGTAAGTATATACATGCATTTTCAGTGTCAAATCTATATCTTGATGTATAAATTTAATTATCACATTATAGTAGTGAATAAAGAAAGAGTACAAAGACATATGACGGAAATTGAAACAATACTGTTTGTCCCTTTAACATATATAGAAACAAAGGACCAACTGGAAGGCGCTGGACAGAATAGAACGGGGCACGATATAAAGAGGCAAATTACAGGATACTAATTCATCCAAAGTTAACAGTTATTGCACCCGTTTGTCTTTAAACTCGTATGAAAATATTGTTTACATTAAATCTTTCAATCAATTAATGTGGAGGAGGTCATGAAAACTCACCCGATCAATCAAAGAATATAATTATATAGCAAACAGAATGATAAGCGTTTTGATGGAGACGGGCATAATAACTAAGTGCAATGACTTTGAAACATTTATCATTTTGCTGAAGAAGCCTTTATTGTTATAATTTTTAAGCCATTCTTATTTAGTGCTCGCCATTTTTTAAGCCAATCACCGACGAGGATTTTTCAAATTTTCAAGTTACAAATCTTAATAGAACAGCTTTTATATAAACTGGACGTTTTATATTATAAAACGCAAGTGGGCGGATCACTAAGCCGGTTTGAGTGCATATTGGATGTTCTTCGTAAATAAGAAAGCTACAGTCACTTCGCAAGCTCCGCTCCTTTTTAGCTTTCTTATTTACGAAGACATCCAATATGCACTCTAACCTATACTTGTTTTGATTAGCTGTGACGTATTTATTAAAGAGAATTCGTATTTATATGCGAAGCCTACTAATACTTAATCCGTTTTGCAAGATTCATACATTCAAGCAACCACGAAACTGTCCTATATTTAAGTACAAACAAGTCAGTCACAAACAAACCCACAAAAAAAACACACAAAAAAAACAACAACAACAAACCAACAAAAACAAAACAAGCATTCTTAACTTTTTTGTTCTTTGTCTTAGCCATTGTAATATTATGTCATTTCATATTTTCAAGTTGTACATAAAATGCATAACCTATTTCTGTCTTGTTGTGTAGTGTATTTCTTTAAAAGAAATAAATAAATGTAAACTGTTTTGATTATATTTTTATTTATTATCTTTTGATTGTAGAAAATATGATAAAATCTTACAGTTGAAGATTTAATACTGGTAAAACACATCTATTTGATATTATCAGATTTATCATTTAATATGGAGAACAATGCAGAATTCTATTGGACGAAGACAGCGCTGTCAAAGCTATATATCTATTAATTACACACTTTACCCCAGAAATGTCTATTTTCCCCCTCTTTAGAAATGGTAGATATGAGTTTTATAACGTTTAAACAACGGGTTTAGAGTATATTAAATGTTTATTCCCTGATGAGTTTAGCGCTTATTGTAAAATGTTTTGTCATAGTAAACCAAATGACACTAAATTATCACCAACATGTAATCGTAATAGATTCGACACGGTCCTTTAATTGGCAATATATTCGACACGGTCCTTTAATTGACAATAAATTTAAAGGTGCAATAGTCTAGAGTCAAATGAGAACATATACTGATTTTTTTATCTTTGTATAGCTTGAAATATGATGTACTGCAAAATCATTATTATTTGCACAGCATTTTTTTTCGTGGATAAAATGGGTATGTGAATCCAGAGATTCAAGATTCAATTAAATTTTGTTTCCTGTGCTGCAAGTTTCTACATTACACTAGATCTATTTGCATAAACAGACAATCCACGAATTAAATAAAAGCACACACACTCACATAATTGATTATAGTATATCGCATACCTAATTTTTGTGTCGCCTCTACGGAGTAGTGGCGACATATAGGGATCACTTCTCCGCCGTCTGTCTGACCGTCTGTCTGTCCGCCTGTCCGTCACAAAACTTGTCCGGACTACTCCTCCTAAACTACTGGTGCAATTTCATCCAAACTTTACAGGAATGATCAGTACCAAGTTTAGTTGTGCATATTTTCAGCATTTTCTGGTTCAATGATTTTTGTCAGAGTTATGGCCCTTTAATAATTTTTATTTTTTAAAGTTTTTCCAGACTACTTCTCTTATACCACTAATGCAATTTCATTGAAACTTTACAGGATTGATCTGTAGCTCAAGTCCTTGCGCATATTGCACGGGATTTTCGATTGAATGATTTTTGGCCGAGTTATGGCCCTTTGATAAAAAGGTGTTTTTCTCTGTGTGTTGCCAGATACACAAAACCTTGTCCGGACTATTCCTCAAAAACTACTGGTGCAATTTCATGCAAACTTTACAGGAATGATCAGTACCAAGTCTTGTTGTGCATATTGTCAGTATTATCCGGTTCAATGATTTTTGTCAGAGTTATGGCCTTTTAATAATTTTTATTTTTAAAGTTTGTCCGGACTACTTCTCTTATACCACTAATGCAATTTCAATTAAACTGTACAGGATTGATCTGTAGCGCAAGTCCTTGCGCATATTGCACGGGTTTTCCGGTTGAATGATTTTTGGCCGAGTTATGGCCCTTTGATAAAAAGGTGTTTTTTTGTGTGTTGCCAGATACACAAAAGCTTGTCCGGACTACTCCTCAAAAACTACTGGTGCAATTTTATCCAAACTTTACAAGAATGGTCAGTACCAAGTCTAGTTGTGCACTGTCCGTCGGTCTGTCCGTCTGTCACAAAACTTGTCCCAACATAAAATTGGCCATCATGAGGCGACACATGTGATTACTGATCGCTCTTGTAATTTACTATTTTAACACCATTACACTTTTCCCCTATCGGACAGATCAAGTGCATATTTACACCTTCGTGATTATATTTCTGCGTATTTGAACTTCTACAACAATGCACTCAAATTGCTATCTTTTTCCAAAATATTACATTTTAGCTATAACACCATATATTTTTACGTCGAGTGTATCAGCTGACTATGAGGTCCTACCTTGTAGGACCAATGTACGCTACAGTTACCTAGCAGGCGTCCCAGTAGTTTACCTATATTCCAAGAAATTAGATACCAATTTCTCACTAGCAAAAACTTTAGATTTGCAGTTGAAAGTCAATGATATAACATACTTTGTTGGCAACTTGACCGCGACTGAAACACTTGTGCCTTCCTATAGGACATGAGCTTACAAAATCAGATTCCGATTTTGTCATTGCTACACATGAAAGAGCAATGAAAATCTATAGCACTCACATGTTGATTTCACTTGTTTTTATTCTGATATAGATAATTTCAGCTAACCTTTGACCTCTATATATATTCAGCTTATATCTGCCCGCTATACTTAGACTGATTACATTACTGTATTTTCCACCATTCCTAGTCTTAGCAGATTCCTATACTTTCCTTAATTCCCAGTAAAAAAGACATTGATATTTACCTCCATGCTTATCTACCCACTCCAACCCGTTCCTAGACTAACCAAAACTTCATCACCCTACTCCTATTCCTCGATATACAAAAATATCCACTGTCTACCCTTTTCCATATTCATAGACTTATCAACAGTCAGCGGTTTATATAAAAAAAGCCTAAACACGCCCGTTTAACTCACAACGAGTGAAAAATGTCCATCGGTAAAAATGTTGTGAGCAACTTCCGTTCCTCGTTGTAAGCACCCATCTTTGACGTGTGAAACGATAAACAAGGTGAGTTTTTCATAATTTTTGAAGATTACAGACATTTATGTAAAAATATCGAAATGCAGTTAGCTAGCGATGTGTTTTCCGAGTATGCACATGTAAATATATTGCCTGTTGGTGGACAATTTGATGGAAATACCGTGCGACGCAGTCACTCGGGGTAGCTGGAAAACTGGAGACAACTTCTCTTTGGACCTAATTTAACATTGAAAACGTCGATTCTGGTGACGTTTTGTGCATTCTAACCTAAAACAGATGCCCACAAGTCTTCAGTGTAAATTATTATCTGAAAGTCTTCATAGAAACGAAGATATACCCTTTTTTGCTTTAATCCTCGTTGTGAGCACCATAACCTCGTTGTGAGCAAGACAAGCGCAGTGCGTGTATGGTTTTAATATGCAATTCAGGTGGTGAAATATTATTTTCAATCTACCACAGCAATTAAAACGTTTTTGCACAGCAGCATTTGTTTTCAAGACGTTGTGCATACCCCAAAGGGAGGCATATTAGTTTTGAACTGTCCGTCTGTCAGTCCGTCAATCTGTCCGAAAACTTTAACATTGGCCATAACTTCCTTATTAGTAAACGGATTTGATTCATATTTGAACACAACATCCCTTAGCACCTTCCTACGGACCTGTATTTTTTTTCCTTGACCCCTGAATGGCCTTTACCTTGAAGGTCAAATTGTCCAAAAACATTTAAGATTGGCCATAATATCCTGGCACAATGTTTAGGCACAACACATCTTTGGACAAGGCCTTTCAACTATCCTATATTCTTTTGACCTTGACCCCTGAATGACCTTCACCTTGAAGGTCAAATTGTCCAAAAACTTAAAAATTTGCCATAACTTCCTTATTAGTATACGGATTCTACTCATATTTTGAAACAACACCCCTTAGGCAAGACCTTCAAACTGATCTGTATTTTTTTACCTTGTACCGTAAATGACCTTCTAGAACATTCAAAAACTTTAACATTGGACATAACTTCTTTATAAGTAAGTGGAATTAACTCATATTTGGACACAATGCCCCTTTGGACAAGACCTTCCAACTGACCTATATTTATTTCACATTGACCTTGAATTACCTTCACATTGAAGATCTAATTGTCCAAAAACAAATAATCTATCTGGTCCATATATAAAAGGCCAAAGCACCACTTCAGGGGCATTGTCAACTTACCGTGATAGTTCTTGTTTTACATAACTTGGTCAGTCTTCAGCTCAGGATAAACACATGTATGTGTGTATCACACAGATTGTGAAATTGTTGCATTATTCATAAACACCCCGTGATGTTCACTCGTGCCACACTGGAGTATACGAAATAAAATACCTGATTTACCTCAACTGATTTGTTATGACTTGTGAATATGAAGAATAATTTTCAAAAAAAGAAAAAGAAGAACTATTGCAAAGAAAAACTATTGTACAAAAACGTTTTGATTGCTTTTGGTAGATTGAAAATTGTATTCTTGCCATTTGAATTACATATTTAAACCAGACAAGCACTGCGCTTGTCTTACTCACAACGAGGTTATGGTGCTCACAACGAGGATTAAAGCAAAAAAAGAGTATATCTTCGTTTCTACGAAGACTTTCAGATAATAATTTACGCTGAAGACTTGTGGGCATTTGTTTAAGGTTAGAATGCACAAAACGTCACCAGAATCGACGTTTTCAATGTTAAATTAGGTCCAAAGAGAAGTTGTCTCCAGTTTTCCAGCTACCCCGAGTGACTGCGTCGCACGGTATTTCCATCAAATTGTCCACCAGCAGGCAATATCTTTACATGTGCATACTCGGAAAACACATCGCTAGCTAACTGCATTCCGATAATTTTACATAAATGTCTGTAATCTTCAAAAATTATGAAAAACTCACCTTGTTTATCGTGTCACTCGTCATAGATGGGTGCTCACAACGAGGAACGGAAGTTGCTCACAACATTCTTACCGATGGACATTTTTCACTCGTTGTGAGTTAAACGGGCGTGCTAAACATACCCCTTTTCCTACATTTAACAAATCCCAATAGTCAATCATCATAGTCATAACAATCAATGAAGTTGCTCATCATCACCATCAACAATAACTTGATTTTTATATTTTTCCAGACTACTATCATCATAAGGAGAAGCAGCAGAACGATGTTATTATCATCATCATCATATCATCATCATCGCCTTAATTGTCACAGATGATTCGACAATGTGCATCCTGACCTATACACGCTCTGTGAATCAATATTTAATGTATTCAATACTTAATTTCGGTAAGAGATTTAAATATAATTGAAATTCAACAGCAAATTCCCTTGAATATGACAGCTGACTCGATTTAATTAAATACAATAAATCAACTTTAAACTAAAAACAACATGTCTCATCGCCCCAAAACTGACTTAAACAGTATTCAATCTTGCTTTAACATCAAAATTATTTGATCAATATTTCCAAAGTTCCTTTAAATATGTAGCAAAGTCATCCTCGGGATGATGTTTTCATAAGCAGTTACATTATTTTTTGAAATATTGTTCATAAGTTGTGAAATAGGTGTTCCCTAAATGAATCGCATGTATGTCACCTTGGCAGTTTGATAATTTATGAAATAAAATGAAAAAGCCCCACAGGTCAAAGACGCGGAGCATGTTTTAAATCCTTTAAAGGAGCACGCTCAATGTTATAAAAAAAATTACACACACATATACAATTAATATGATCTGACCTAGCCTTAAGCACTTGCTTTCCGCAAATATGTCCTATAGCATGTCAAAATATGCTGTTACAACACTTAAACCCACTATGTCATATTATTCACACACATTCAAAATGTCATTTGGTTTACAAAGGTCGGTATATTTTCACCAGCATATCTATCTATACGTGTCTTTAAATTTGATTATGCGAATGTGACCACTCATCTCCGGGCGTGCATTGCATAATTCTAACCGTCTAATTGCTTACCTAATTTTCACTATGCTTTACGCATTATTACTGAAATGGGGATGATGTATAATCGAATTGTCAATTGACACACGATTATATTTGCGTTTTATGTTCATATATGTGTATTAAATAATTGCTTCAGTTTCTAAGGCATGTCAAAACCAAGGATATGTGTGATTGGTGCGGGGCCGTCCGGTATGTCAACCTTGTTTCATTTCGCTGAAATGGAGGAGATGCCGGAAATTGTTTGCTACGAGAAACAGCGCACGTGGATGGGTTTATGGAACGTTTCTTGGAAAACAGGTGAGCATTTTTTACTACTAGTATCATCCCCTTGATTGATGAAGGTTATTATCCACGACTGTGAATAATTCTGACATTTCTTGGCAAATTTTCATAATAACCTTGTGTAAAGAACAAAAGTTTGCGTGACTGGTCGTTAGTTGTCTGATTGGTAAACATCATTTATTTATTAAGATTTCTATGAAACATATTGATAATAAATGAACGAAGTCCAATGCAATTATCAGTATAATGATTTAGAAATTTCTACTATGATGGTTATCAAAATTACTCTGTCCTACGTTTTTCAAATTTAAAACCACACGAACAAAGAAATTCAAAGTCATTATTATGCACAGCTTATTATCATTAATAATAATAATAATAATAATAATAATAATAATAATAATAATAATAATAATAATAATAATAAAATATAATAATAATAATAATAATAATAAAAAGACAAGAACAACAACAACCAAAATTTGGAAAAAAAAATAAATGATAAAAACCACTTTTAATTAATACGTCACAAAATGCTTATGTGTAATTTGTCAAACAAAACCTATTTTGTCACCTTTTATCTCCTCGAATTCTCTCAGAACGTTATGTCTTTGCCAAAACCTTTATACATTTGTGTCCTTAATATTGCCATTTTGAGTATATGGTCTACGTAATCTAAATTCATGAAGATTATCAAATTCAAAAATTAAAACTCCATATGGCAAGTTCTTTGACACGATTTTTGTTTTAATAAAACAACTGAAGCTTCATACTTGAAGGTCTGGACATGAACGGAGAACCTATTCATACAAGTCAGTACCATCACATGTGGTGCAATGGTCCTTATGAGTCAAATCAGTACCCAGATTATCCGTTCGAGCAGCACTTTGGTCAGCAAACTCCGTCATTTCCTCCTCGTGCGGCGATGAGAGATTATCTCGAAGGTAAAAATTTGTGCAAACTTCTTACTGTGATTATTTTTCCTTGCATTTAACAAAAAGCTAGTCGATTATTAAACAATTGTAAACTACTATAGTTTGATTATGATTATCTGTTTTAGCAGTTTCACTCTTGTGCCTTGAACGGTCCAAAATTCGTATTGGTTAGAACATGTTTAAATGGAAAAATTACCTTATGTATTTCATTTAAGGTCGTTTTACAAGAGCGGTTGCACATGGACGAAACCTTAGGGACTATATACATTTTAATACTGCTGTCCGATATGTGAAGTACCATGACGACAAAGATGACTTTACCGTCATTGTTAACGATTATAACACAGGCAAGACACTAGAAGAAACATTTACACATGTAATTGTGGCATCAGGAATCTACAGTTTTCTTAATCTTCCTGAATTTCCTAGAATGGAAAAGTTTAAAGGTCGTATTTTACATTCGCACGACTTTCGTAATGCGAGGGAATTTTCTGGACAAAGGGTGTTGTTGATAGGAGCTGGTTATACTGGAGAAGATCTTGTTCTACAATGTCTGAAATTTGGCGCCAAACATGTGATTATGGCATACAGAACAAAGCCAAAAGGAGACACCTGCATTATGCCAGAGGGTATTGAGGAAAGACCAATTGTTGAACGTTTTGATTCGACTAAGGCATACTTCAAAGATGGGACCTCTGCTGAAATCGACTCTGTAATATTAACTACAGGGTACAGAAACTATTTTCCTTTCCTGGAAGACAGATTCCGAATACCCGAAAAGACGCATCTGCATCTTGAAGGGCTGTACAAAGCAACATTGTTTTATAAGGAGGGAAACAATCGTTTGTTTTATATAGGCGCCCTTAATCAATTCAACTCATTTATATATTTTGAAGTTATGGCAAGCTGGACTTGCAGGTAAGCATGATTTCTCGAAAGTCAATTTTAAATTTGAAGATCAAAATAAATTATACTGATATATACCATGTCATATAAACCTTTTGGATGAGTTTTATTGTTTTAGATAAAAGTAATCAAAATAGAAGAAATGCGTTCACTCTATTAATTATATGTTAGGAGCAAGCTATCACATCATTCATACTGCAATTGTATATGCATTTTGAGAAGTAGGAGATGAAATATCTCAAATAATAATAATAATCATAATAAACATTGATTAAATATATGCATATGATATGATATTACAAAATTATTATCTTTCAGATACATTGTGGGTCAATTGGCAGATGAACCAAAGGGAAAGAAAGAGATGCAGGCCGATAGTGAAAAATGGATTAAACAGGCTAATGCTGTTACTTCCGAATCACAAGCGCTTCATTTCCAAACTGAATTAATAGCACACCTGGCTGAAGTAACAGGATATCAGAGTAATATTGAGAAAAATGAAGAAGTTTTCAATAAGATGATCAAAGACAAAGAGGAAGGGTTTGGACTTGCAAAATACAGGGATCGATGTTATGAATGCATATATACTGGTACAATAGACCTGAAACAAAATACCCCATTTATGCTAAACTATGACGATAGTATTGAGGCATTTTTGAAATGCAAATAGAACATATAACTTAAGATGTAAAAGATTTGATACCTAATAATTTCTATTCTAAAAGATTTTGAGAAATAACAGAACAAATAATAGCGATACCATGTTGCGTCAAATCTGAAACATAGATAATATATAGTTATTTATATTCGGAACACATCATTGTATCATGTATTTTCAGTGTCAAATCCGTGATGCGGCAATTTAATTACTAGTAGTGCAAATAAGACAATAAAGATAAAACGAGGAAGAGTTTAGTTCATGGAATCCCTGCTGCCTCCCCCGATAACATCAAGTCATATAAGACCAACTGAAAGGCAGCCAGTACAGCACTATACCATGTATACAGAGCAGAAACGGGACATCGTACAAAAGAGGCAAAATACAGGATAGTACAGTTAATTGTATCTGTTTGTGTTAACACTCGTATGAAAACATTCCATTTATCAATGCGGAGGTGGCCATGACGACCAGTCTGACCATACAACAAAATAAACAGTATAAAGCAAACAGAATGATTGTTGAAGGAGACTGCATTTTAACTTAGTGAAATATGACTAAGATACATTCGTCATTTTCTGAAGATGTGCTTTTTGTAATAATTGTTAGGTATTTGTATATTTATGATAACCGAAAACGTATTTATACGCTAATCCGAATTGTAAGATAATCTATACAGGAAATATATATATAACCCAGATGGTATATCTCTGTCAAATGTAATTATTATTCTACGTATTTACTTAAGGGAAATGGAGTTGGATCAAATCAGTATCAATTACTTTCTTCCTTCTATCTATCTCGGCATTGCGACATTTTCGTTATTTTTAAAAAAATATTCATACACGCTACCATGTAACTTTCCTGTTATAGATGATAAACACAATTACATTAATATTAATACATGTAGCATAAACAGTTTAATAAAAAAAAAAGAAATAAAATTAAACACTATATTTGCTCTAATATTTGTTCTTTTTTCTTAGCCATTAAAATGGAAACACCCATGTTTTTCTTAAGTCACTGTGATACATAAATGAAAACCCCATTTCATTGGAATAGAATACATTGTATGACATTAAAACCTAAAAGGAAATAAAAGGTAAACTGTTTTATTTGTTTATTATGCTTTCTTTGTTGATCACATTTGTTTGTTGAATACATTTTGTTTGTCGAGTGAATAATGGTGTCTTGCAGTTGAAGGTTTGATGCTGGTTAACACTTATATTTCCTCGTATCAGGTTATTTATTATACATTGTTCAGTACAACGCTGAATTCTATGGTACGAATACGTACATTAGCTATCAAACCTATCTTTACTGGATATAGCCGACTCCAAGTTTGAAAGCCGTGTACGTTTTTGAAATGAACAGTGTACGTATAATGACCTATTCATTTCAGACCAACAATTTCATGACATTTTCATAGAATTTCAATCAGTAACTTGGAAACATACTTTTGGGTCTTCGAAAATGAACGCAGTATAAGAATTGAAGTTTAATATTTTGGAACACGCGGTATTTAACTGCAGTTTTAACTGTAGTATCATGATTCGTCTAAGCAATGAATCATCCAATGTATTGAAGTTGAAATAGATCCGACACGTCCTTGTTTGGACAACAGTTTTTATGTATATGCGCACTTCTTATTGGAGTTACGAGTGAACAGAATGATTGTTTCCTACCTAGAAGCAAATCTCCATTTACGTACAATAGAAATAAAATTGTTGAAATATGGTTTATTTAAAATTACATTGAAAATGCTTAGGATTACTACATGCTAGACTAGCTAGTGTGGCTATGTAAAGGCTAAACGGCAAGTTTATACCATTCTTCTCAGAAAATATCCTTCTCAGAATAAAAGAGCAAAACATAAATAAATATAAATAAAAAAAATCACACATTCAATTTTTAAAATGGTGCACATGAATATTTATCTTGTTTTAATGATTATGTATCTTTATATACATATCTTAAATTTACGACATTAATGAAAACAGGATTGCATTTGTGAAAAATGCTACGCAACCGCATTAATACAACACTAAATTGTATTGTAGGAACAGACTATACAATTGAACATTGCCTTATAACCCGGTGTGTGTTCATGTGTAATACATTACCTCAATTATGAAGAGTATTCAAATGGGCTAGAATTAGGGCTGTCATTGATGGAAAATTTTGTATCGATATATCGAGAGGTAATTTATCGACGATACATCGATATATCAACTTTGACAGTAGATACAATGAAGAACATTTATATATGATTGTGTTGTAAATTGGGATCATGGTGTTATGCATACTTGTATTATACATTACAAATACTGCAAACTAGCAGAAGGTTTTTTTCCTGTTATTCTTGTCACGGACATTTGAAAACGGAGTTTAAAGTTAAAGTTAACGAAGAAAACTAGAAAAGTTACTTCTCTTATAAGCCAAAATAGAGAGGTATATTAACTATTAGAAATATTTTTTAGCTTGTATCGATATGTGAGCACCTGCCGTGATGATACTTTTTAAGGCACTATGTGAAATACTAGTAGCTGTAAAATAAATGGCAGCCTAGCAATGGGTCCGATTTTTGGATTGCAGATTGGATGGTGTAATGTCTCTGAATCTTCTAACCATAACGTATGGCTTGCAACGCTCGCATAAGAATTTTAACCGCCACATGTTTGCCTGCCACTGCTGTCATTCGTTCATTCTGTATATATACGCTGTTGAATTTCGTAAAAAGAAAAATATTTTTGAGGTAATCTTGACCTTACCATTGGTTCTATATCGTTGCAATGGCTCGTAGTTTCCCGTTTACAACAATATAAAGCACATGACTCTCGCTCAAGAAACATGGCCGCAATAATTTTTTATGTCCGCTTGGTATAGGTGTTAACCGATGTGATTATTATTAAAAATGAATAAATCTATGTATTTTCGTAAAAAGGGCCATTATCTGAAGGATTTTTTAGCTTACAAATTGATGTTATTTCGCTGCACGTGGGTCAATGCAATAGTTCTGAGACTGTCATTTATATATTAAAGAGACGTGTCGTTGCTCGAATAAACTGTCTGATGTCCGCATGACAAAGGTATAAGCAGGTTTGATGACTTTTTGATGAAATTTCCCATTCCGTACATTTATTCGTAAAAAGCATCATTTTCTGGACGAATTAGTGATCTACCCATTGGTCTAATTTCGTTGCGGATTTGGGCAGTACGTGTAATATCCGTGAGTCTCCTGCCTATGACATTATGAGATGATGGCCCGAAAATGTACAATATGGCCGGGATAACGCCGTTAAGACATTACCTTTAAATAACAAACATGACACCCACCAAAAGGTACATGACCGCTTATGTCACTGCGTGGAAAAGGTGTAACCTGTGCGGTTACATGCTCATTGTGTACATGGACTCTAAGAAAGTTTGTAAAATGCAACATTTTCTGTTGGCAATAGTCTCCTACACATTAGTTCAAGTTTGTTTTCTGATCGACAAGTGTAATAGCTTGAAATATCCTGTTAAGACAGGAAGTTCCACCTGGAATCTAACATCCTGTCTACAAACTTTATAAATATTCGTAAAAAGCACATTTTATTCTGGAAGCAATCGCAACATAAGCATTCGCCAGATCTCGTTTCAGATTTGCCAGTGCAACAGCTTGCCCAGATATCTCGTTTTCAACAATATATAAAGGTACATTACATAAAAAAACATTACCGCTAAAAGCCCGCGTGACCTAGGTTTAGGCAATGCAATACTTTGTCCATTCTGTATATAAACTCTTAGGATTTTTGAAAAAAGTACAATTTTTTGCCCACAGCGATAGGTAGAAAGCTTCTCTTTACGTCAATGTAATTTACTCACTAAAGAAATATGGCCGTCATATGCTCGCGTAAGATAGAAACAATTCGATGCTTTCAATTGTTAATTCTGTGAATAAAAACTTTTTAAAAAAAACATAGTGTATTTCGTGGCTTTTGTGAGTCTGTAGGTCATAAAATCAGCCCGTTAATGTCGTATACATGTAAAGCGGATCTATCTTGGTTTGTGCATAAAATCATAAATTAACAATGTCAGGTCAAAATATGCAGGTATTATCCTTATAATTTAGTAAATAAAATAGTATCACATGTTCTGCAAACGTCTGTATATTTTCATCACTATATATACACTTATCTTTAAGGTGACAACAGACACTTTCCGTGGTACTCACATAAATGTCATTCAAACCAACTTATTTTAGTTATAATTGTTATTTATTTAATCTTTGTGCATTAAATGTCGTTGATCATCATAAAAAATAACATATTTGAAAATAATGCCTTTGTAAATGATTGAATTCTAATAAAAATCCTAAAATTTTAAATCGTCATATCAAAGTTATTTTTATTTTTTTTGCCATCAAACTTTTGGAAAATAAACATACTTATAATATCTGGGGAACCGTGTCTCAAATTTTTTCTATCTTTTCTCAAAAAAATATTACGTAACGTCAAGCATTTTATGCGACTTTTTTCACAATACATATTACGTAATTAAGGATAATTAAGTCGCTGATTGAGCAAACAAAAATCCCTGACACGGTTCCCTCCGTAAATGAATTCCCTTTCATGTGCTTTAAACCGCATGTTAATTGCTTGATTATTAAAAAAATTATGCCGATTCAAAGTTAGTCCGACCCGCATCAAACGAAGTGTCATAAATCGGCTGTTCTCTCTCGGACCCCTACGTTTCACGCTAAATAATTGCATAATACACAAATATCGCACCAGAGAGGGTCACAAGTTGCGGTAACATACTCTAACAACATTTTATGACCCAGTGACATCTGACCAATTAAAAAGTTGCTGATTAATATCAATTTATAACAGAAATATCTTCAAATCTTAACGTGATTTACCTTCCGTCTGATATCGGTCGCACATGTTACGTGACTTTCGGTAAAATTTGAGGCGCTCGGTGGGGGGGAAATGGAACGTAGCGGGGTATTTAATTGTTTCGTTTTTGAAGTTTATTATTATTATTATTATTATCATCGGCATTATTATTATATTACATCAGTGTCACTCTGTCTGTGTATTCGTGTATGAAATTCCGTTAAAATATAAATTAAAATAACAAAAAAACTGAGCTTCTGACGGTCTTTTAAAGTCCACGGTAGAACGGGATATTATATATTTTTTCCTCCAAATTGATATAAATGCTTAACATATTTTAATAGAAATAAAAGGTATCACTCGATCATTATGATCTGACCTTCTTGACTTCTATGATCATGAAAATCATCTAAGTACGGCATAGATATCCAGTTTCTACTGGGATATACAATAAATTCCATAATTTGTTCCAGGTTTATTAGTACTGTGTTCGATTAACTGGCGAACAATTTATTCAAAGCATTCACTGATAATATACTCGTATTTTGTTATCTATTTTATTGATTCATAGAGAAATAATCATCCTTAGACAAACTAAAATGGTTTAGAAATTTGTCAGGGACACCTTAAATTACCACAAGTCATATAGGCGTTCACATAAAAAATGTTGTCTGTTTTGTTGTTGTTTTACTTGACATTGTTAGAAAACGAGGTTGAATGTAAAGCAAGCCCTTGAATACGTACAAAAGTCCATAAACTCAATGTAATATCTATCAGATTAACGGGACAGACAAATAATTTTCACACATTATGGATATTTTAGCATCAACCACGTGGTCGTGCGATTTGCCGCTATATATTTATGTTTCATACATTATGTTACGTACATTGGCCGACAATTTCTTTTTTTATAAAAGAAAAAGGCTAAATAAAAGGTAGACGATATTCATAAAAGATGTACGGTATTTGTACGATACATGAATTACGGGTAGTATGGACCAGTATGGACCGGTAATTCACGCATATATGGAACTACCGATTTCCGTCATTGATGCCTCAAAAGGGGGCGGAGCCTTATCGATAATTGACAGGTTACGCGAATAGCAGATAAAAATGGTACAGGTACCGTTTTAAAACGTTTAAAAACACATTTTTTGGACTAACTACTTCCAAAATTAAATCACGAATGTGTTCAGAAAAGGTTGATAAATCTACTAAGCAAAAAATCTCAT